TGGTACTCTCTCACTAATGCTGCTGTACGGCATAGATCTGGTGGAGCAATATTGCTCAGAGTAGGCAGCCATCTCACTGGCGTTGGTTTTATTGTTCCAGTGATTATTCTCATGGTTTGGTTAAGTTGGACATCGATTAGCTTATGTCGTAAGTTAATAGTTAAAACAAAAAGAGAAATCATACAATTTCTACCTGGCGAAATCGAATTCAAATCTTAACCACTATGCTTTCTAAAACTTGCAAAGCAAACAGCTTGATAAATAACTCGTCAAGAGATTTATTTATTTAGCGTATGGCTACATCACAGGTTCATATAAATACAAATATATAAATTATATAAATTACAAACAACAGTAAATATAAAAATATTATTCTACAAACAAACATCTAGATTATAAATATATTCGATTGACTCTTTTGTAGCAGCCAGGAAATCTGAAGGGTTGCCATTATAGGATCTAATTGGCATTCCTCTACCATGTGTTTTACTGTTTGCCTTTCGGCGCCGCAGTCGCAATTTGGTGATTGTATTTTTCCCCATCTAAAAAGTGAGTCGGAACATCTGCCACAGTTCGTCCTTATTCTATTGAGTGTGGTCCAAATTCGTCTCGGTTGGTTGAAGCCCTCAGGTTTGCCTGTAATACATGGCATGTTCCAGTTAGCTGGTGCAGCGTTATTCTCCCATTGTTCTCTCCACCGTTCAGTTACATTAAAGTTTTGATCTACTAGCCTTTTTGCTGTTTTTAGAGGCGGGTGTCTTGAACGGAGCCTATTTATGTCTCTGGCGGAAGTTCCGACATGGGAGCGGAGCTCAGGATCAGTATTGATTTTTGTAAATTCTCTGACAAGGGCATGTTCCCGGCGGATGGGTGGTGGAGCTATATGACTCAAAGCTGGTAACCAGTAAGTGGGCGTGGCCTTGATTGTGCCCGATATAGTTCGCATGGCTTGGTTGAGTTGGACATCAACACGGTGAGTATGGACTGTTATCCATACTGGTGCACAGTATTCCGCTACGGGGTATACCAGTCCTAATGCTGTCGATCTAAGTGTGGGTGCTGAGGAGCCCCATGTAGTGCCGCAGAGCTTTTGCAGGATGTTGTTACGAGTTCGGAGTTTTGCAGCAGTCTTAGTAAGATGCTCTTTAAAGTTCAGCGTTCTGTCAAGTGTAACACCTAAGTATTTTGGGTGTTTATTATATTTAAGGAGTCTATCCCCAAAATTGATTTGAGGTTGATAGTTGGCCATCTTGTTATATAAATGGAAGCAGGACACTTCTGTCTTAGTTGGATTGGGTTGCAATCTCCATTTTCGGAAATAATTCCCTAGGGCATTTAAATCGTTTGTTAGAATGCGTTCAGTGACCTCGAATTCTTTATGACTTGCGGCAAGCGTCCAGTCGTCTGCGTATCCAAACTTTTTTGATGTGGTTTCTGGCATGTCTGCTATATAAAGGCTGAAAAGCAAGGGGGCCAGCACGGATCCTTGTGGAAGTCCATTATTCAGTTTTCTTTGGGTACTAGTCTTGTCTCCCAATATAACTTTAAAGCATCTGTTGGATAGCATGGCGTTAATAACCTCAGTGGTCTTTCTGCATGGGATTATTCGCATTAATTTATATATTGCCCCTTGTCGCCACACAGTGTCATAAGCAGCAGATAGATCGATAAAGACAGCAGTTGTTTTTGATTGCTTTTGAAAGTTTGATTCCACATAATTGGTCAGGGCGAGTACCTGTCTGTGCAGCTGCGGTTTGGCCGAAATCCTGCCTGTTCCACTGGTAAGTGTTGGAATATGGTTTTGCTGATTCTATTATACAACAGTCTTTCGAACAATTTGTACACCATACTTAAGAGTGCAATGGGGCGGTAGTTTTTCGGTGAATTATTACTTTTCCCTGGTTTTAAAATGGCGACGATTTTTGCATTTTTGAGTTGGTGGGGGACGTTTCCCGTTTGAAGGATGTCAGAAAAGAATTCTGCGAGCCATTGCCTAGTGAATCTGCCGCTATGTTTGAGGAACTCAGCGTGAATAGCGTCGAAACCCGGCGCTTTTCCTGTTTTCATTTCATTTAGGGCTTGCGATATTTCTTCATGCGTAAATGGGTTGAAATATTCTGTTGACTGTGCAAGACTAGATTTTATGGTTTTGAGGTCTTTTTTAACTTTAATTGTATGTAAACGATTTTGAGGTTCCCTAGAGGTTGACACTATGTGCGTAGCTATTAGGTCTGGAGTTACTAGGTTGGTTTGGCGAACGGGTGGGTTGCTACTTCCGAGTTTCCGCAGTAGGGACCAAGCTTGTCGACTTGACTTCTGGAAGTCTAGGTTTTCTACTGTCTGTGTCCATTTTTCACGCCTGGCAGCATCAATGCTGTGGAGTAGTTCGTCTGCAATCTCCTGCTTTCCATCTTCGCAATATTCTTCATACAGTTTTTCGCTCTGTTCTGTCCAACCAGGGATATATTCTTTGCAGTATTCTCTAGGATTGTCGCTTTTGCTGAGGTGATTATTGCTCCTGTTAGTCTCCCGTAGTTCTGGCTCTTTGGTGGAATCCATCCTAGGCATTTGTCAAGGTTACTGGCGAAAGCAGACCAGTTAGCTTTCTTGAAGTTCCATCTGGGTCGTGGGAACGATCTTATAATCGGAATGCTGATACCGATCTTGATTAGGACGGGGCGATGTTGACTATGTGGAAAGTCAGACATAACCCTTCGTGATGCTGCTAGCGGTTGGCCTTTGTTGTCAATGGTAACAAAACAGAGATCAGGGTTATATTCTCTCCTCCAGGCCGCAGATCTGAAAGTGCCTCTATCTTTGGCGTCAAATAGAAGGTGGGCACCATGTTCCTCTGCCCATTCCACAAGGGATGTGCCATTTCTGTCAGTGTCTGAGTATTTCCACATCTCATGGTGGCTGTTGAAATCACCTACGTATATGGCTGGATGTTCATAGGAATTAAGAACTTGGACAGGCCAGGTAATAGCAGGAGGTTTGTATATGTTAGCTATTATGACATTGCCTATTTTCACAGTTACCTCGTGGATGTTGTTCTCGGTAGAGGCGGCTATTAATGCTGCATTTTCTATGTTTGAACGGACATATGTTGCCACTCCGTAAACTCTATTGTAGGTAGCGCCCAAAAGATCATAGCCGGGGATTTTTCCTCTTGAGCTTGGTTGACCTTCGTTTTCTGTGTGCGTTTTCTGAAGTGCTACTAGGTCAACTTCGTTGTCTTTTAAAAGTCTGTGCAGGATTTGACATTTTGCCCTGCTTATGCCTTCTATGTTAAAATGGCAAACTCGTATGCTTGGTCCGAGTTCTTTGGTCAAATGGTCCTGATAAGGTCCTTTTACAAGTGTCATGTCTGGAAAGATTTTCTGTGATGATTGAATTGCCAGGAGATTCAAGATTGTCTGGCGCCTTTTGTGCTAGTTCATTTAGCGTTACCCAGGGTGCACGTGTAGTGTTCTACTACGGACGCGCACTAGCTTTACACCCCTCGTCAAGGGAATTTAGATTGCATTCCAAATGCCGTTCATCATGGTCAAAATTCGTAGTGAATTCAATTTCTGGTACTCCAAATGGAGTAAAGAATTCCCTAGACTCTCTTGCCGATATATTTATCAAGCTGTTTGCTTTGCAAGTTTTAAAAAGCACAGTGGTTAAGATTTGAATTCGATTTCGCCAGGTAAAAATCGTATGATTTCTCTTTTTATTCGTAGATGGCGTAGTTACGTCTGTATATAGTTATTTTAATAAATATTGTCTAAGACGGGAATAGATTTTGTTTCGATACGGAGTAGTGACTGTACCGTTCTGAGGAGACCTAAAGAGGTCGAAATACGTATAAGCGGCTTGTCGTTGCTTTATAACGTTATGCTGATAACACTGTTATATTGGCGTCATGGCCAGTAGAACTGGAACAAATTATAAATAGGCTAGGCACGGTGAGTACGGAATATTGTTAGAAAATAATTATGCAGAAAACCAGTGATGATCATCGATAGAATCAGAAACAACCAGGCAGAGATAAAGGTCATGGCAGGTTACAAAGTGGTCAGGCAATTTAATTACTTAGGCTGCGTTATTACTAACAGTGGAGGATGCGAAGAAGAGATCTGTCGACGCATCACAATGGTCAGATCGGCAAAAGCAAAACTCATAAAATTTGGCAGAACACTGACATTAAAAATAACACAAAATTACGCCTTGTTCAAGCATTGATATTTACTATCGTGACCTATGCTTCAGAAACTTGGACAATAAAAAAAAGCCAATTCAAAGCTTATAATGGCATTTGAAATATGGGTCTACCGTAGAATGTTGCGCATACCTTGAACGTACAAATAACTCAATTCTAGCAGAAAAAAACTAGACTCATCACAACTATCAACCAAAATATACTGAGATATTTTTTACATATAACTAGAAGAAGAGAAGACATGGTGGTAACGTAGCAGGTAAAAGATCCAAAGGAAGATCTCCAGTACGAAGGTCCTATCAAATAAAGGTAATGACTTGTTACTCATTTTCCAAAGAAAAATAACACGCATAGGAAAGAGATAACTGGACAGAAATAGTAAAACAAATTAGATACATGATGTCACCACATCCTTACGAAGAAGAAAATATTGAGGAGGAGTGTTATTATTAAATATTTTATTATTTTTTAAATATCTATATTATTATCAAAGTTTATTATATATTATTATCGACTTTTGTGTCAAAGTGGTTTTGTATGGACCTTAATATTTTTTGCATAATTTTGAATAAAATGATTATTGCGACATTTTCTATCTAATTATTACAAAAGCTCTTATCTATAAACAACTGTTGATTAGCTCAAGAATAAATGTAGGTAACATTTAAAACATGAAAGTATTTTATATAAGACGTCTGGTTTTAATTTATAGCAACAGTAGTTCAATTACGAATCGAACGAATAAATAAAAGATTTATTATTAAGACATTCTGTACTTTTACATGACATTGTACGAGTCATTGACTAATAAACCTATAATATACACTATCCGGGTCATAAACCATCGATACTGTTGTAGACAGCATGTTTTTCTACGAATACATGATATTATTCTTCTTGTGCCTGTTTGTGTTCTGTAAGCTGACATGTGGAAGGTGTTATAGTAAAACATGCCTGATAGGGAAAACTGCCATTATTACTGGCGGAAACTCAGGTATGATTACAGTATTTTAAAAATTATAACTCTTTTAACTAATTTTCTGTTTTTGTCCGTCCTTAAGCTCGTCCTAATTTCAATAAACAATACAAAACCAGGGATATTTTTTTGGAAATGAGTTGCCTTTGTTTTAAAACATCTTCATCAATAAGCCAATCGCGTCCACTGCTGGACATAGGCCTCCCTCAGTTCTTTCCAGTGTTCTCTACACTGGGCCGCTTGTAGCCAGTTTCCCGCTACACGTTTAATGTGATCGGTCCATCTAGTCGGTAGTCGTCCTCGGCTTCTTTTATAATTTCTGGGCCTCCATTCCATAATACGTCTTGTTCACCATCCATCTTGTGTTCTGGCTAAGTGCCCTGCCCAGTTCCACTTAAGTGTCGTGGTTCTTTTGATGACGTCGTGAACTCCTGATCTTCGCCTGATTTGTTGGTTTGTTATGGGTCTCGAAGGCTCACGTTCAGAATTGCACGTTCCATGGCTCGTTGTGTAACTCGAAGTTTATTCGCAGATTTTTGCGTGAGTGTTAAAGTCTCTGCTCCATAAGTTTGTACAGGTAAAACACATTCAATATAAACCTTTTGCTTGAGACACATGGGAATTGAACTTTTTAGAATATGGCTTAATTTGCCAAATGCTGCCCATGTTAGACCTATTCGCCTCTGTATGTCATGTGTTTGATTGTCTCTGCTTATTTTGATTTCGTGTCCCAGATATTTGTAAGTGTTTGTTTGTTGTATGGTATTATTGTCAATAGTTATATTTCCACTCATTACGAGATTTGTTATAATTTTAGTTTTCTCAAAGTTTATCTTTAATCCTGCTCTTTCAGACAGACTTTTAAGCGAATGCATCATAGAAACTGTATCTTGTAAGTTATCTGCGATTAATACAACATTATCTGCAAACCTTAGGTGATTTAATCTTTCTCCATCTATATTGATGCCCATATCTTGCCATTGAGTACCCTTAAATATTGACTCTAGAGCTGCCGTGAAGAATTTTGGTGAAATATTGTCTCCTTGTCTAATTCCTCGACCTAAACTGAATTTTTCTGTATCTTCGTGCAGTCGTATACTTGATGTAGCGTTCTGATAGATGTTTTTGATTAGTGTCGTGTACCTGTAATCTATTAGGCTTTGATTTAGGGCTTCCAGTATTGTTTCAAACTCTACAGAATCAAAAGCCTTCTCGTAATCGACAAATGCAAGAACCAGTGGTATGTTGTACTCGATGCACTTTTCTATTAAGATCTTTATGGTATGCAAATGGTCATTTGTGCCATATCCTGCCCTGAAGCCTGCCTGTTCTTTGGGCTGATAGAAATCAAGTTTAGGTGTTAGCCTCTTTGTTAAGACTTTCATTAAGAGTTTGTACATATGTGTCAAGAGGCTGATGGGTCTATAATTTTCTAATTTAGTAATATCGCCTTTTTTGTGTAACAAGACTATTACTGCATTGTTCCAGTCTTTTGGAATCGTACCCGCATGTAAGCATTTAGTAAACAGTTCGCTTATTGATTTTAATAAAATTTCTCCACCTGCTTTTATTGCCTCGATAACGAGTCCATCATCACCAGGCGATCGATGGTTCTTCATTTCCTTTAAAGCTGCTCTTACTTTTGACACAGTAATGGGTAAAAGTATTTCCGATCCCTGATTTATGAGAGTCTTTACTCGTATCGGGAAATTGTCTTGTGGTCTTTGGCTGGTATAGAGGTCTTTATAAAATTCTCTAGTTATTTTCAGAATGTTTTGTTTATCTGTTGTTGCCTTTCCGTCTTTATCTCTCAGCTTGCATATTTCTTTTTTACTTTGCGTAAGTTTTCTTTTTATTATCTTTAAACCTTTGTTCTCTTCTACTGTTTGAGTAATTACATTAGTATTATATCTTCTTACATCTTTTCTAATTTCCGCTGAAATTCTTTTATTTAGTTTTTTATATTCTTCTTTGTTTCCGTTTTCGTTCTCGCTTAGGTTTCGTCGTATTTCCATGAGAGCCCTTGTATCTTTGCTAATCTTTTCACTTTTGGTGTCACATCTTAATGCCAGTTAAACATATGTGTATTTCTTTTTATCTTCATAAATTTTATGAAATCTGGCAACTGAGTTGTTCAATACAATTCTCTCAACCGATACTAGCAACCCACTGCGGATCGGATAATCTGCTGGGGCCAGTATCAACTTGCTCATATGAAAAGAGAAAGATATTACGAGCATCCTATATGAGTGACAGAGATAAAGCTATACCATATATTCAGTAATACATTTAAATGGTGGATCAGAACCAGAACAAAGACAGTAGACGCGATAGAACAAGCAGCAAAACTGAAATGGAAATGGGCTGGACACAATGAACGTCTCCAAGACGGACGATGGAACAATGCCATCGGAAAGTGATGTCCATACAATGCAAAGAGCTCAAGAGGCAGACCACAGATGAGGTGGAAAGATGACATCAGGAAACAAGGAGGTCCCACATGGCAGAGATAAGCTCAAGATAGGGAAAGATGGAGAGAACTGGGGGAGACCTATATCCAACAATGGAAGGATAGAGAATAGGTTCAAAAAAAAAAACATTTAAATGAGACCACTCGAGCCACGCACGAGACCTAGAGATGAAATTTTTAGTAAAGCTTATCTATTTCGAGTTTATTTACGCCTTCCCTTGCTACTATTGTGTTTATTATCTAGAATAATATTTTGATTATGTCGTACGTTTAATTTATTTATTGACAATAAATCCAAATTATTATCTTTTGGTGGTTTTTCGTTCAATTCACAAGCTGGCTGTGTGGTTGCGAACAAACCAATAAACTGTTTTGATTTGTATGCGTTTTGTTTGTAGTTGACGAGACTTAGTCAAATAAAGGCACCGATGATCTTGTTCATATATGGGAGAAAATAAAATTCCATAAAAAATTCAAAGGGCACATAAATAATGTTTTTAGCCTTTTAACGCTTGGTAAGTTAAATCTAAAGACCCAATTACATTCAGCTTATTATGATACTCCAATTAAACACAATGAACAGGTAGATAAGAATCGATATGTCTTGAATCAAATTATAAATTGTATAAGGTTTGGTGTAGCTTTTGAGTTAGCTCTCAGAGGTCACGACGAGACCAAAAATTCAGAAAACAGAGGCATATTTAAGGAGCTGGTCAATTTTAGCGCCGAATTCGACAATTACTTAAAGCTTCAGATTCAAAGTTGAAAAATCTTTTAAAGGTACCCTCAAACATAACTAAAAATGAACTCCTTGTGTGCATATTCTTTTCTTCTTCTTCATTCTTCTCTACGTCTCCTCAAAGAACGAAAATTTTGGACGAGGTGGTTAATCGCAGGTTGCAAAAATCTTCCCAAACACGTTGAAATTTTCAATCACGGGGTTTTCATACTGTTCATGAAAATAGAAAAGAATTCATTGCAGTTATGGAGATTATACAAAGGAATTCACGTGATCCAATAATCAAGCAAATATATTAAAGCTCCAGGATAAACATTTTTGTATTTTGGTTATTTGGTATATAATAATATTTGGTATATTTATTTTTAATAAAATAATGTCTCAGGTTGAAATTACTTATAGACGTCATTATTTTTAACATTAAAAAAATAAACACGTCACAGAGACAAATGAATAATGATAATGATGAAGGAATACAAAAAGGCGTTGACGAACAGAAAACGAGCCTTAGAGATGTTCCGTGGTTGTGTGGATACGTGTGTGATAAACATCCACGGAAACAAAATAAAACAAAATAATATTTATTTTGTAAAACTTAATTAATTCTCGAAGGGTCGGTATTTTTTGTATATTTATATATCGCGAACCGAAGCAAATGGTATCTCAAAGATTACTGAAAACTCAAACTAAATCATAACATGCGTTCTTTCATTTTAAAAGCCAGACGATAAACTTTTATTATCGGGCTGGGTCGTAAATACAACGCACTCAAAATGTATAATTAAAGTGTCGACCATATCTAATATCTGTAGTAATTAAATAAATAGATTGAGGAACACGTTTCAATTTTTATTTCATTTCTATTATGTGTATAGCCAATTGTGAGAAATGTAAATTTTAATATGATATTGTTTTATTTAATTTTTGAATACAAAAGTTTAATTATTCGTAATTAGCTTGTCGCTACAACACCCCCTTCGAGAAATATGGATATTACATATGTAGTTACACTGGAAATTTAATAGATATATCAGAAAAAGACAATGGTTAAACGAGAAAAAAAAAATTCACTAAAAAAATATTTTAACTAAAAAAAATGATTTAACTAACACTTGCTTGATAACTTCCCGTAAATCTTGTTTGTCTCTTGGGTCTGTTGTTCTTAAAATTGTTGTCGGTGTTTGTTTCTGTGGACAGTGTAATTTTCTCTGGTTCTTGATTTACGTTGACCTCATACGCAGGTTTCAATCTATCGATGGAAATTGTTACTTCTTTTCCGTTTACACGGACGACAAATGTTTTGTCTCCACGTTTAACTACTGGAAAAGATCCGTGATATGGGTTATCTAAACCGTTTTTGATTGTGTCACGGCGGAAAAACCACGTGAGTAGTGGTTTCATCTCTTTGAAAATAAAAGTGCTTTCGGACCCTGTTGCTACGGTTGCTTAAGACGCAGATTTTCGAAATGATTTTGAAGTGTCTTTAAATAAATGTGAGCACTGTTGTCGGTGTTTCTTTGCGACGAAAATAATAATTCACTGGGCAAACACAATGGCAACACAAGACAACAACTCCATAAACGAGTTCGGCAGCTGAAGTATCTAAATCTTCTCTTCACGCTGCTCGTATGCCCAGTTAAACTGAATGTAGGCTTTCCGTTCATCGAATATTTTCATGGCATCGAATTGCTGCTTTTAATTGTTGATGAAATCTTTCCATCATGCTATTTGTTTAAGGGTGATAAGCGGTTGTTCTTAAATGGATAGTTTCAGTTAATTTGCAGAGTGATCTAAAGAGATGTGATTCGAAGTGTCGACTTTGATCCATTGTGATTCGCTTGGGAGTGCCAAAACGAGCTATTCAACCAGAAAAAAATGTTCTGGCTACTGTATCTGCTTCTTGATTCGGTATTGGGAAAGCTTCCAGCCAGCGAGTGAAATGGTCGACACATGTTAAACAGTATCTGTTTCCTTCAGAAATCGGCATCACTACAATGTCTATGTGAACATGCTAAAATCGGCTGGAAGGTGGTAGGAAACTTTGAGTCTGTGAAACAATGTGGCGCGATATTTTTGATTTTTGGCACTGTAGACACGCTCGAGTCCATTTTCTCACATCTGATTTGATTGAAGGCCAAACATATCGCAGTGTGATAATTTTCACAGAACTGTTGATTCCAGGGTGTGCTATATTATGCATGGTGCTAAAAATTGCCATTCGAAGTGGTTTTGGTACAAATGGACTGGCTGTAGATGTTGCTACCTCACAGTACAAATTAATGTTTTGTTCCGGAAACCGTATTTTTCTTTAATTGCAACGATCTTTTCTCTCTTTTAGTACTGGATCTCTTTCTTGTACGCGTGCTAAGTCCGTGATGTCGATATCTTTCTTGTGTCTGCTACAATATTTGTTAATTCAGAAATGTGCTGACTGTTGGTGCGAAACTGTCCTATAAAATCTAAATATCGAAATTGTCTAGGACTGCATTTGACTGCTTCTGTGTAAAGGCGAAGGTGATTGGTTTGTGATCAGTATATATGGTTATGTCTTTGCCTTTAGTCATATGTCTAAAATGTTTTATAGCTAAAGATATGCCAATAATGTCTGTCGTACGCACTATATTTCTTTTCACTAGGTGAAAATTTTTTGGAAAAGAAAGGCAAAGGTTTCATACCTGTATCCGTTTTTGTTGTAATACAGCTACAGCACAAAAATCAGAAGTATCACAAGTGATGGAGATATAAACATCGTTTACAAGGTAGCTCAGTAAAGTAGCGTTAGCTAAATTACTTTTGCAGTGCTCAAAGGCTTGGATCCGCTATGGTGTCCATTCAGTTGGTGCGTTTTCTTTGACATTTCCTTTTAAGGCATTATGAAGTAGTGCTTAAAGCTCAGCTGATTTGTGTATGAACCTTCGGTAGAAGTTCAACATACCTAGAAATCTACGCAGGTCTTTCATTGTTTTAGGATGAGTGAAATTTTGTACAGCTGCTACTTTTTCTTGGGAGGTTTGAGTCCTGCTGCTGATACTGTGTATCCAAAAATGTAGTTTCGTTTTTGCCGAACTGACACTTTGCTAAATTAATCACAATGCCAAATTGCATAAGCCTTTTGAAAATGTCTTCTAAATGCGATATATGATGCTCTTCGAATTCTGATGCAATGAGAATATCATCTATGTAGGCGTAGGCGAAATCAAGACCACGTAAAATTTCATCTATGATACGTTGGAAGGTCTGTCCTGTGCTTCTTAAACCAAAAGGCATATATAAATATTCGTACATTCCAAATGATGTGGTTTTCGGAAGTTTTTGGTACATCTTCGGTGGCTACTGGTATCTGGTTGTATGCTCTAACTAAATTTATTGCAGAGAAAATGATCTTACCAGTTAGCGACTGACCGAAGTCTTCGATGTGTGGAATTGGAGGTCGATCTGGAATAGTCCTTTGGTTTGGACGTAGATAATCTCCACAGGGCCTCCATTCTTCACCTTTCTTCGGACCATAGGTAGTGGTGTAGACCAGTTACTTTTTGATGGTCTTATGATGCTTAATCGCAGAAAATTTTTGAATTTTTTTTTAGCCCATTGCAATTTGTCGGGTGTTAATCATCGAGGCTTAGAGAAAACGGGTGGACCTGCTGTTGTATCGATTTGGTGCTTGGTTTGGTGTTGAATGTCTTTCAAAATACCGGCAAGTCGCGTGATTTCCGGAAACTGAACAAACAGCATATGGTAACACGACACTTCCGCGATTGTCTTTACGCTGCTATCGAAACAATCTTTAATGAGTCCCTTTGTTCGAATAGTTGTAGTACTGTCTATTAAGCACTGGTTAGCAATGTCTACTAGGAGAGCGAAATGTGATAAAAAATCTATCTATCTATCTAATCAGACTTAAACGCCCACTCTTGGGCATAGGCTTCCCCTGTTAATCTCCATTGGTCTCTATTTTGAGCGATCTGCATCCAGTCCTTTCCTGCCGTTCTCTTAAGGCCGTCAGTCCATCTCATCTGTGGTTTTCCTCTTTTTCTTTTCTTTTCCCATGGTCTCCAGTGTAGAATTCGCTTATTCCATCTTTCATCTTTTTGACGGAGAGTGGGACCGGCGAAGTTCCATTTAAGTTTTGCAACCTGTCTTGATACATCGTTCACCTTTGTTTTTTTCGCTGATCCATGAGTTTCTTTTTCCTGTCTTTAAGACCGATACCCAGCATCTGTCTTTTCATTGCTCTTTGTGTTTTGGATATCCTGTCGAGGTTCTTCTTTGTGAAAGTCCATGTTTGTGAGCCATATGTGATAACTGGTAAAATGCACTGATTGAATACATTCGTTCGCATATATTGAGGGAACTTTTTATTTTTTAGAATATATGATAGTTTACCAAATGAGACCCATGCTAGTCTAGTTCTTCTTTTTATTCTTCTGTTTGATTGTTCCTGTTCAGCTTTATTATCTGTCCTAGGTATATGTATTCTGCCACCGGCTTTCATATATTCTGTTTGACTACTATTTTTAATTGGTCTTCTTGGTTTGTCATAGTCTTGGTTTTACTATAGTTCATCTCTAGACCTACTTCTGTCGCTTTTCTATCTAGTTCCTCAACCATCTTCTGTAACTCTTCCTTCTTATCTGTTATCAGGACTATATCGTCTGCATATCTCAAGTGGTTCAAGAGCTCTCCATTTATTCTTAGTCCGTATGTATCCCATTCTAATTTTTTAAATATATCTTCCATAGCCTGATTGAACAATTTTGGTGATATTGTGTCTCCTTGCCTGATTCCTCTTTCGAATTTTACTGGTTCTGTAGCGTGTTCGTTCATCAATTTTATTGTGGTACTCGCATTTTTGTATTTGTTTAATTGCCCAAAGTCTATGAATGCCATGTTTAATGGGATTTGATACTCGTTCGACTTTTCAATCAGTATTTTTACTGTTAGCAGATGGTCGCTAGTACTAAAACCCTTTCTGAATCCCGCTTGTTCTCTTGCTTGGTATTCGTCAAGCTTAGTTGTTAGTCTATTTGTCATGATCTTCGTTAGTAGTTTAAATACAATACTTAGTAATGTCAGATAAAAAATCAGCTTCTATAATAGGCTTTTAAATGTCCACCACTACGAAACGCCACGTAAAATCACGTCTTAATCCGATATTTAATGTCAAGTTAACATAACCGTATGTTGCGATCACTGTGCCATTGGCCGCGTATAGTTCATATGTTGTCTTTTGTCGATTAAAAATTGATTTTCAGGTTCAAAATCTGTTACAAAAAGGTGGCGAGACTTTCTGCTTGGATCTGATGCAGCAATTACCGATTGCCCATGTAGTTTTCCTGGTGCTTGCAAGGAAGTGTGCACTTTTGAGACCTACCACCAAAACGGTAGTAATATCAACATATGTTACTATTATGTTCCCTGCAGTGGCTTCTGTTTCTATAATATGGTCTTCCTCTTCAGGTGCTGAGTACAAAGATATTCGATGCAGTTTTGTTACAAATAAAAACAAGGTTTATCTTCTCCGGACATTTAGTTGCTTCTAATTTATGTCGGAGAAGTTTTCTGCTTATCAGCATCAGTTTCCCGAATCTTTTCTTATTGAAACATGCAGACAATTTTTATTTTTACACAAAACTCGGCTTAAATCCGGATTACAAGGACTGTATCAGCGCGAAGAATTAAATACTACCTCTGGGGCTGTTTCGCATCAGTTTTATTAAATGATGAAGGTTTCAAATGTACATTTGCAGAAACTATTAAACTTTTAACACAAGAAAATCGGGCTTAGCATACCTACCTAGAAAGCCCGAAGGGATCATTTTGGCCCCAAGTTCCTAAATCAATAAAAACCAAGTTTAGAATTAACTATTTATTTGGGAATAAACAAAAAATAAAAATAAACAGTTTTAAGAAATTATATAAACTCGACGATAGAATTTGATTTAATTTTTAGTTTCATTTTAAACATTTGGAACACCATACAGTTTGCAGTTTTTGGCATTTGCCATACATTGCCTTGTTACTGCCGTGGCACTCATTGGAAGTATGATTTCCTTTACAAAACATTTTTAACTGACTTTTTTTCTTTTTTGGCTAGCAAGAGTGCTGGTGGTTGGTAAATCCGGTGGTGCTGGGTATAGTACCAGATTTCGGGAGGCAAGGTATGGAGCCCGTAATTCATCACACAGCTGAAGAATAAACTTACGACGACTGATTTTACTTTCAGTAACTTCTTTATAAATAATCCATGCATTTATTGCTCCTAAGTCAAGAATATTATAAAATACGTGCATTGGCCATCGTCTTGAAGCAACTTTTGTAGTATAAAGACGCGCCATTTGGTCCACTACATCAACCCCGTATTTTGTTTTGTTATAAAAACTCACTTACTGTTTGAGGAAGTTTTTTTCCATCGACAGCAACATCCACTGATTGATGTAATAAGCTCAACAAAAGCACATTTTTGTGACTCTTTCCTTGGTATGCAGTGAGTGTTATCTTTTCGTCGCTGTGGAATATATGGGTAACATATAATTCTCCATTTTTACTCTTCACGCTTAGAGGAACTTCCTTTCTGCTGCGATTCAAAGTACCCACAAGACTTGTTGATTTTTTTTTTGCAATGCCTTGGCCAATTTTAACGATGTAAAGTAGTTATCTGTCGTAACATTTTTGCCGTTTCTTCCAGTTGATTTTCCATTAACCGCAAAACAACATGTTCACCAACACTTGTATCTTTCTTGCATAGATGATCAGTGCCAGTGTAAGAGTTATTGCCATTTACAATATATTTTGATTCCACGCATGTCAAAAGCCAAAATTTTATGCCAAACTTATCCGGCTTATTTGATATGTACTGTGTGAACGGGCACCTGGCTTTAGAAGGCAGTAGTTGTTCGTCCATAGTAAGGTTTATTCCCGGTTTGTAACATGCACCACTATTTTCTATAAATCCATTCCAAACCGCAGAGGCTAGAGCAAATTTGTCGGTTTTCAATCGTTCGGATCTCGTTTGCTTTATGTCAAATCTGAGATATTTTATAATATCCTTGAATTTGTCTCGTGGCATAGTTTGCCTAAAAAACTGAGGACCCCATACTGTTGACCACAAGCTGTTGGTTGGGAAATTTTTGGCGCCGTGGACTCCTTTTGCGTACATAATAGCAAGGGCAGCCTCCAGTTCTTCCAAAGTTCTTCCAAAGTCCATGTGTCATTTTTTAAACATCGATGTGCTTCTGCAATAGTGCATTCTTTTATATGACGTAACATGCTGTCGTTGATTATTATATGCCAAGCACTTACCACACAATTGTTCTCCACGTTCCTTTTTGCATACGACGTAGGACCTGATTCCTCTGATAAATGTTGTGCTGAGCGCGACGTCCTGTAATGAGCAAACATTCAATGAATATGAAGATACTAAAAATCATAATCTTACCAGGTAATGATCCAGAATCAAAACTTTTCACGTTGTTCCGGATTTCGATTGTTCGGTGTCTCCGATTGAAATAGTTTTTCCTTGTTGACCTCTTTTTCTCTTGTGACAGCTTAGATGCACTTGGATTCACGATAAAATTAGCTGACTCGTGCTGTTGAGTTGTATAAGCGGTGTTTATATAAATTGGTGAGTCTTGTACAATAAAACTTTCTAACTGCTCTGAAGCATCAGAGCACTGAATCATTATTTTGTGGTGGTACGTATTGTTCATCGTCTGACTCATTATTTTCTGCAAATTCAGATTCACCTCCCGAAACATCTTCTTGCATTTTTCGTATTTCTTCAAAAAGTTCAAGCTCTGATAGTCCAAGACGAGACATTTTTACAGTCGTCTTGAATTTTCAAAATTGAACGAATGTTTTAATATTCTGGAAACGAGAGTCAGCAGAACCTAATAAACCACTCAATAAACAAAATACTTTTAAGGAACAAACAGTATGTAACAAAATACCTTCTAGGAATAAACCTACATAAACATAATTTGATCTATCCGACAGAAAGTTAAAAGAAATCGTCAAATTTCCGAGAAAACGATAATAATTAATACAACGCCAATTTGTCCCTGTATTAATCAATACAGAATATTATCAAAATAATAAAAGGCATAAAATATGAAATTATTATTGCGTCAAATAAAAGAACTACAATAACTTCAAATCGCAACAGGGGTCAAATTGGCCCCTCCGACTTTCTAGTGTTAAGTATATTAATTATTACCATTCGTATGTCAACATCTGAAGTAGAACGTTGTTTTTCGATGCTAACACGAATTAAAACATTCCTTAGAAATATCACGAAGGAAGAACGACTTAGTGCTTTAGGTATGCTATCTTAAAGAAAATTGAAAATAGCATTGAAAAGTTTAATAATAAAGTGATTAAAAACCAAAAAATAAAGAAGGATGGCGTCATATATCGGAAACTTTAAACAATTTTGTGCGTGCAAATAGTTTAAATAATATACTTTATTTTTTCTTTTCAAGCTCTCTACAATACTCAAGGGAATATTCTGAGATGAATAAAGATCGTAAACCTCACGAATAACTTTATTTTTTAAGGTGTCGGCTACGAAACAGCTCTAGCCCTTGCCTCACGTGGCTGCAGAGTGATAATCGCCGATAAAGACGATTCGTCAGTATCAAGGCAAAAAATAATCGATGAATCCACTAACCAACACGTCATATCCAAAGTACTAGACCTAAGATCTCTAGCTTCGGTAAGAAAATTTGCTGAGAATATGCTACGATCGGAGCCAAGACTGGATATATTGATCATGAATGCAGGAATAGCTTCTAATAAATTGATCCATACTGATGATGGTATACAGATTACAATGCAAGTTAACTATTTGGGACATTTTCTTCTTACATTTTTACTGTTAGGTAAATATATAATTGTAATAATTTTAATAATATAATATTCTAGATTTGTAGATTTAAAATCAGATCTGTGGTATCTTCTTTCTTTGCTAAATTTTATCCTGTCAAGCGGAAATTGGGTTTAGCTACGCTAAGGTAGCTGGTATATACCAAAGATGATTCTTTTTAAATTAAAAGTTTGTAGCGAAACAGTCTTGATAGCACCCATAAGCTATACAATATATATATATATATATATATATATATATATATATATATATATATATATATATATATATGTATATATATATATATATATATATATATATATATATATATATATATATATATATATATATATATATATATATATGTATTTACATGATGGGGTTTTTTGAGAACATCAGGAGAGGATATGGTTCTGCTAGCGTAGATTTCCTAAAACAATGGGCCAATTTCAACATCAAGCTTGCATCACTCAACAACAGAAGAATTTTCCTTCTGAAATGTAGAAAAAATCTTTGTTTTCCTGCACACATAGAGAATGGAAAGTTTAACATCAATAACTTGTTACATCATAAAGGAGGTAAATTAGGTAGTAAAATTCAAAACTTCAATTCAAATTTAAAAACCAAAGTCCCAAATTTAGAAATCTCTGTAACAATAAATGATATTACATACACAGAAAAGAAGTTACATCAACTAAAAAATACATTAGAGCAGCATTTACCTGCTCCTTTACTACAAGAATTCTATAGAAGGCAAAAAATTAAATACAATAAAATTTTCTTTCGAATTAAAAATAATAACATCAAAAAATTTAACAAAATAAAAGTTGATCAATTTTCAAAAATAACATTTCAAGAAAAGTGGTTCAAAAATCTAACTGACATCACTTTTCCATACAATGTGAAAAAACTTTTGTCTTTGGGTCCAAAATTTTGCCTATTTCCTAGTGCTAGAGATTTTAAAATGTCTTCTCTTCTCTCAGATATTAAGTTTCTTATTTCTGGTTTAGAACCTCAAGAGAAAGATATTGTGAGATCTCAAAGCACTAATGTTATCACTAACTTTTTACACAAAACAAGTAAAGAAGGACATTTTTTGAACACAATATATAATGAGTGTAAACAATTTTTGAAATCAAATCCAGACATTTACATTGTTAGAAGTGACAAAGGTAATGTAACTGTGGCAATGTATAAAAATGATTACATTGAAAAAAGTAATAGTTTATTAAATGACACAAAAAGTTACATAAAACTTAAGAACAGTCCGGTGTGCACCCTCCAACAAAAGGCGAACAAACTGGTTTCGGATTTAGCTGCTTCTAAATCTATAACAACAGAAGTTGCAAAATCCTTGAAAATTTACAATGTAGTGGCACCCAGGTTTTATACACTGCCTAAAGTTCATAAACCCACTATTTCAATGAGGCCTATTGTATCTTCCATTGATGCTCCTAATAGTAAACTTGCTAAACACCTTACAGATATTCTCACAATTTCCTACAACGAATCGAATGAATTCTATATTAGAGATTCTTTTTCATTTAGTAACTTCATTAACAATGTTAAAGTTCCAAATAATTATATATTGATTAGTTTAGATGTTGTGTCACTGTTTACAAACTTACCACTAGATGCTATTCTTAACAGCATTAAAAATAACTGGAACAACATCTCTCCACATACTAAGATCTGTTTAGATGATTTCATAAGAATTTTAACATTTATATTTGATTCTAACATCTTTTTATTCAATGGTAATTTTTTTAAACAAATTTTTGGCACTCCAATGGGCAGTAAAATATCCCCCATACTATGTAATTTTGTTTTGGATGAACTTATAACAACGTGTAAAGAAAACATACCTTTTCACATACCATTTATTAAACGTTATGTAGATGATTTGATTCTATCGGTCCCTGAAAACAAGGTAACTGATGTTTTAAACACTTTTAATGCCCAATGTGAACACCTAAAGTTTACGGTTCAGAGAGAGGCTGATAATATGATTCCTTTTTTAGACATGCTAATCCATCGTGGCAATGATGGCATGCTAAGGACGGAGTGGTATCGTAAACCTTGTTTCAGTAACCGTTACATAAGCTTTTATCCATCTAAGATGAAAACAAATTTGGTTTTGGCTTTAAAAACTAGGGTTATCAATTTGTCACACATAGAATTCAGAGACAAGGGACTAAAAAAATTGAGATCCATACTACAAGAGAATTCTTATCCCATAGGGCTGTTAAATAAACTCATTTTCGGTTCTCCTTTTCCTTCACAAGTTTCTGTCAACCAAAATTTTCATAACAATGAGATCCGACAATTGACATTGACACATAACGCATCAATATTACCATCTTAAATAACTTATGGTTGCCTACCCTACATTCCATTTTTGACACCTAAGCTAATGAACATCTTTAAAAATGTTAGTGGCTTAAAAGTTACAACCAAAAATGTGAAAACAGTATCGAAGCTTAACACAAAAACAAAAGATCCTTTCACAATACAGGAGTCATCGAATGTTGTTTATTCTATACCGTGTAGTAACTGTAATAAAATTTACATAGGAGAATCATCTCGTAATTTTCACAGCAGGGTGATATCACATCGCAGTGATATAAAAACCAAAAAAATCAATGCATGTGCATTGACAGAACATGCACTAACTCTAAAACATGAATTCAATTTCGATGATTCCTGTATTTTGGCAAAAGAAAAGAACCATTCAAAACGTGTTTTTTTGGAAATGTGTTTCATAAAATCTAGCACATCTTGCATTAACAAAAAATCCGATATAGACAAATTAAGTAACATTTATTGTTATTTACTAGAAAAAACACCAAAAATAAAATAAATATTTACCAGTACAAAAATTACACCTCTGTATAATATGTTGCATACCATTAAGACAGGTTTAAAAAGTATATTCACCTAAGAAGGGCCTCCAGTATTTCTTGTAAAGAAAGATAACATCAATTACACCTAATTACACATTAATTACACTGTTTTTTCTTTCCATTCTCTGTATGAGTTGATATACATCAGTAAAACATGCCATCAATCAAGTTTTACTATTTTTACAACAAATTTTAAAAATTTTATGATGTATTATGTCCATAATTGTATATTTTACATGTGTGGTATAAATGATGAGTGTAAATGCTTACAAAAATAATCTCAAGGACTAGTAAGTTACACTGAAGAATTGTGATATTTTTCAAATATTTACATAATTGTCTTTTACAGTGTCTTGAAAAAGGAATAAAACCATTCCGAAAGCTCGACAAAAAGTCAAAAGAGTGTTTTTTTTAACATCCCGGCCAAGATTCTGACTGCAACCCTAATAAACTGTGTTATTTGTATATATATATATATATATATATATATATATATATATATATATATATATATATATATAATAAGCGAGTCTTCTTCTACAGCTGGCGCCGCTTCTCGCATCCTAGTCGAAGCAATCTTCAGTTGTTAGATCTCTGGCGGTCATTGCATCGTCGACATCGTCTCTCCAGGATCCTCTTGGTCTACCTCTTTTTTTTCTAGTTGGCGGAGTCCATTCTTCTAATTTTTTTTGCCATCTATTTTCCGACATTTTCTGAAGGTGTCCATACCAGTTAAGTCTTTTGGCTTCGTTTCTCACCCTATCGAGTCTAGTGAGCTGGCAACATCGTCTCCAGTACTTCATTTCCATGGCCTTAATTTTTTATTTGTTTCTTTGGTTTATTTCCCAGAGTTCGGCAGCGTACAGTCCAATACTTTCTGTTATTGTTTTATAAATTCTTCTTTTATTTGCTTTTGTTATTTTTTTGTTCCATAATAGTCCGTGTGTCTGTCTGGTGGCTGATCTTGCTTGACCAATCCTGGAATGTATTTCTTCGCTACTTCCTGCTTTTTATGTTATTTGGACTCCCAAGTATTTAAAATTGTATGTTGGTTTTATAGTTCCCATTTCGATTTGTAGGCTTTCTGATTTATCTCCTACAACTAAGTACTCAGTTTATTGTATATTAATTGTGAGGCCCCATTTGGTGTACTTATCTTCCAGTTTTCTAAGCATGTATCCTACATCACCCTCGTCTTCAGCTAGAATGACTTGGTCTTCAGCGAAGTGTATCGTGTACAATCTAAAATCTCCGATTGGGATGCCCATATTACAGCACTTTCTTCTCCACAGTAAGAGTACCTTATTTAGATATATTTTAAAGAGTGTAGGTGCTATGCAGCAGCCTTGCTTTAGGCCCTTACTAATAGAAATTTCTCTAGTTAATCTATTTCCAGTTTGAATGATTGCCGTCATATTTTTGTAGAGCTGTTGTACTGCTTATATATTTTTCTGCTTATTCCTTGTTTTTTCATTGCTACTCAAAGCATTGAAAGTGGTACACTATCGTATGCCTTTGTCAGATCTATTAAGACTATATGAGTTGAAAGATTGTGGGCTAATCTTTTCTCTATAACTTGCTTTAGAGAGAATATACTGTCCATACAGGATCTGCCTGCACGAAAGCCATTCTGTTCTTCTACATCTGTCATCTCTTTTTCAATTTTATTTTTTATAATTCTTCCACACAGTCTTGATAGTGAATTTATGACACTTAGCCCCCTGTAGTTTGAGCAACTCTTTCTATCTCCTTTTTTGTAGATATTGTTAATATGTGCTTTTGTCCACTCCGGTTGTAAATCGTGTCCATTATAGAATAATGTGAAGACATACGCCAGTAATTCCCGTAATACTTGTGGGTATGTTTTAATAATTCATTTGGTATACCTTGTGGTCCGCATGACTTCCGATTTTTTAGAGTTCGTATTGCATTCTCGACTTGCTGTAGTGTTATTTCATCGTCTTCACTGAATTCTAGTTCATATGTTGTACTGATGTTCGTGAATTGAGGTCTTGTTTCAGTCAAAAGTTGTGAGTAGTGTTCGATCCAAGATCTTTCTTCTATTAAATCTATTCTACTCATTTCTTTTCTGTTTGTTCTCAGATTTTTTACCGTTTTTCATGCTTCTCTTGATCTTGTTGCCCCTATTATATTTGTTGAATTCTTCGCATTTACTTTCCCAGGAAATATTTTTTGCTTTAGTTACTAATTTTTTTACTTCTCTGTTTGATCTTGTATTATGTTCGTCTATCATCTGGATCATTTGTTTGCAGCCACTTTTGCGTGCTACCTTTGATTGCACCCATAAGCTATTAACAGAAAATAGTCACTTTTGCTAGATCGTGACCACTTTCGTATTTATTTTGCATGGTATTTATTAACTTTAGAATGAGTTTAGATAAAATATTGATAGATATTTTCTTTTAGATGCCGAATCCATACCTAACTCAAAAATTACAAATTTGGACTTATCCACTTTTGCGTGAATGCTTTTTATTTGTTTTTTAAATGTATGCTTTAAATATAATATTTTCAGATCTCATGAAAAAATCTTCCCCGAGCCGCATAATATTCACTTCTTCAACAGGAGCGTACTTCGCCAAATTTTCTCTCGAAGACCTCAATCCAACAAAAGATTATCCTAGACAACATCGCATATACTTGAATTCAAAATTGTGCTTGATACTATTTGCTCGTTATCTATCGATGAAGCTGAAAGGAACTAATGTTACTGTAAATTGTGTTCATCCCGGAGGAGTACGATCCGCCATCTACTTGCGAGCATTTAGAGTTGAAAAATCTGTTTTCCCGTTGATTTTAGGATTTCTTACACTGATTTTTGGAAAGGTAATCTTATATACTAAAACGCTAAGCCCTTTTCTTGTCCACCCCTTTACTCAAAAACCGTACTAGATAATTACAAATATTTTTTCGGAATATTATTAGTATCACGTATGAGATTGTCAAGATATACTTTTGGTACAAAAATTCACTTCCGGTTTTGAGATGACCGGAAATTAAAATTTATGTCACATTATGTTATGGACAATGTATATATGGATCGAAAGGTCTCGTCGAGACGAATCTAAATATGTATTTCCGGTTGCGATCCGACACCGGAAGTGACCCGAAACGTCATAAAACGTCAAGATAGAGCAAATCTGACACCGGATTCGTGATCAGCATGCAAAATTAACTGCTAAATGATATCCATGTCGACATTTGATGAACTAAAAATTGCATTCCGATTTTGAGGTCGACTTCCGGTTTCGTTTTTATTAAAAACTAAAAAGTGAAAGTTTACATAACTCCCGGTGCTAAGCAAAAGTTTTCAGAAAATGGAGACATTGTAACAAAAAACATTGTTTTCGACGAAATATTTCGTGATATTTAATACACTTTTTACTTGCATTATTATTTATTAATGCTATGTATATTCTTGCTTATATTGTCTGTATTTATTACTATTTATAACTGGGAATAAGCCACATTAAAGATAAAAATACATTTATTGACGTTTCAATTTCCAATTCAGAAATCGTTCTCAAAATACAAAAATTTTTGTATTTTGAGAACGATTTCCGAATTGGAAATTGAAACGTCAATAAACGTATTTTTATCTTTAATTGTGGCTTATTCCCAGTTATAAATAGTAATTAATTTACAATGCCACAAGAAAATAGCTTCAGAACAATATTGTCTGTATTGATCTCTTAATTTTTCTCGCAAAATAAAAATTTCGTTTAAAAAACTCGATGTCGAGTTGGTCCGCTAGTATTAATTTAAACAGATACATTTTTTACAGATTTACAGTTCTTTCTCACTATTTTTACTTATTTCCATATATTTTGTATATAGGCTAACGGGTAGAGTGATTGGCCACTTAAGGAATTGCCAATTCAATTAAAATTGTAAATTGGTATCTTTTAAAGTAAAATATTTTGTAAGAATTTTTGAATAGTAATGTTACATCAGATTTTATAAAAACACCGGTTATTTGAATTAGAAAAATGATGTATATTAAAAATCAACACAAATTTGAAAACTTACAGAACTACACAGTTATTGGCCATATAAACATAGTTATTGGCATATAGAATTACAGTTATTGGCCATTCATAAAATTCATAATTTTCTTTTTTTGTTCGTGCAGGTAAGGCACACTAAACTATTTAAGTTTTTAATTTCTTGTTGTTTTTTTGCACAAGTACCAATACGGTAGCCTTTATCACAAAATAGACATTTTATTCCAACTTTTGATTTAGATATATTATAGGAACAATAATAACACAGGGGACCGGCCCTGGCAAGGTATGGTTAAGTTGTACTGATATCGTACTCCTAGTTTTTAATAAAAACAAGTGGTTTTATTAAATAGTTTTTTAAAACTAAAGTGTTTATCTACTAGATACTACTACGTAAGTTATCTATACGTAATTATTATTTTATAAGTGTGAAAAGAAAACGTCAATAATAAATATATACTACCGTACAATCATTTTGTGAGGTTAGCTGTTATAAGTACCTTATAGTAGCATGCGGTTAGTTTTTTACTTACCAGAGTCGGAGTAAGGCCTTCGCCGCAATAGCTTAAAATGACTTCACAGAATGTAAATACACCTTCCGATCTAACTAGTCCAGTAAATCAACGTTCGAATATCACAAACAGTTATGCATCAGCCGCTTCATACTCTTTTCCGAGTAAGACCCAAGCAATTGTATTTAGTTGCATCGATAATGCTAAACTGCAGGATTATCTCATTCCTTTGGGCATAATCGTCAACCCAAAAAATATTTTTTTTTTTATCTAGACTATCTCATAATAGAATCTGCATGTATTTGGCAAACAAAACCGTAGTAGATAACTTCATGATACAACATGGCTCTATAGAAGTACTCGGCGAAGTTGTAACAGCACGAAGACTTGTCTCTCCAGCAGAAAGACTAGTCTTGTCTGGAGTCTGCCCGTCAATTCTTCATCAAGTATTAGTTGGAGAATTACAGAATATCGGATTAAAGCTTATTTCCCTAATAACATTTCTGAAAATTAGCTCGACTCTCCCCGAATATAGTCACATATTGAGCTTTCGGAGGCAAGTTAATATAAGCCCTATAATATCACCAATTCCAGATTTTATTCTAATAAATTTCGATCAAACACCCTACCGCATATGTTTGTCACAAGGTACACTTACCTGCTTTATTTGCAAAAATACAGAACACATATCATCCCAATGCAATAACAGTTCAGTAACGGAATCAACTCATATTGAGTCAAACAATGAAGTACCAAATCAAACAGCTTCAACAAGTATACTACACAAGGTACCAAACACCCAGCAGTCATCAAGTTATCCATTATCAAATCCAAGCATATCACCTACACCTACAAATCTCCATGACAAAGAAATTACTAACGCTCCTACTCATAACAACACTTTCAATCAACCTCATTCAGTAGCAATACCGTTTTCACAAACTTCGGAAGCAATATCCTCCAATCTATCAGCTCCTTTTTCATTAGAATTTTCTTAATATTTTTCTTAGATAAGAATTTTCTTAGATAAGAAATTTTCTGCAGTTGTAAAACTGCAGAAAATTCTAATAAAACTGATACATCAACACAATTTTCTGAAACAACCATTTCAACCAATCTTACAAATAAAACTTCAAGCTCGAGTTCTGTCACTACCAAGGAGTTTGCTCCAGTACTTCCAAATGTAATAAAGCCACAGCATCTAAGTGAAAACTCTAATAACATTTCCGAAAACACAAGTTCTTCCATAAAACGCAGTATTGGTGAGATCGTCACGCCTCCTTCAGACTTAGTAATTTCATCAGAAAATCTGTTTGCAAAACCCAAACCCTCTAAACTAAAAAAACCGCGCTCATATAAAGTCCCATCTACACGAGAAACTCTTGAAAATTTCGTTGATAATCATACCCCACCATTCGTTTTAAATTACCATCAATTGTCCTTACTGATTAATAATGTCCAAGGCTCCTCCGGCACTATTAGCATCGTCAAAGAATTTACAACTGATATCGATGGTTTACTTCATCTTTTACAAAGCAGCTATCAATATGCAAATGATAGATCTACAAAAAGCATATTTACAAAACTTTAAAAGAAACTATACAACCATTTAGAGAAAGAGATTTCTGACTTAGATAGTGACTCTTCTGTAGACAATTGTTTTGCATCATCTAACTCAGAATCTGTTAACAACATTTAACTCGATACTTCAATGGAACATTGATGGATTTTTCATCGTCTCCCTATGCTACAGATTCTTTTATCTAAATATTCTTCAGATATTATTATTTCTTATGAACATGGAAGAAGAGTCCAATTTTTATGGGTTCCCTCAAACGTCGGAATAACAAGAAATGAAGAAGCTGACATTACTGCACGAGAGGCAATTTTAAGTGATTTGTCGAAGCCGATCGACAAGTGTGTTTTTAGTGACTTAAAAGCTTATTTTAAAAATAAAATGTGGTGTTTGTGGCAAAATGAGTGGTCTCAAACTAATTCCAATCTAAATAAAATCAAAAATAATGTGTCTCAGTGGTTTTCATCGTCGCTCAATAGAAGTTGCGGTTGCGCGTTTACGCCTAGGACATACCAGATTAACGTACTCCTACCTTTTCACAAAGAAAAATCCACCTATATGTGATCAGTGTAACGTCCGATTAACAGTCGAACATTTTTTAACAATTTGTAGTAAATATGACCAAGAAAGACAGCGCTACAAGATCCCAAACGCTCTACTACAGGCTCTAGGTCAAAACTGTTCCTATAAAAATATAGTGAATAATCTTAGATCCATAAACATTTTGTACAATCTGTAGGCGTCTAACTTTGTTTTTTATATTTTGTTCCGTCGCTAATAAGCTTTTGGTGTATGCGACATCTTTTTCTAATAAAAAAAATAATAACACAATCCTGTATACAAAAGGTTATTTACAGTTGGGTTGGTGTCGTCTGATTGTTTTACTGTTATATCTGAGAGAATTTGTATTTTTTCGTGTTCTGGATATCACTCAATTTCAAAAAATAACTTTCTTTTAGCCGACTCACCAGCATGTTTTTCTTTACTGGTTTCCAAATTTGTACATTTGCTTTGGGATGTTTCCTCAAATTTGATAAATTCATATTATTGCAGACATCAAAAAATGTGATTGTGTGCAGATTAACTTTTTCCTCTACAGAATCAGGAAATTGGTTTCCTGACAATTTTTGTTTTTCTTTGAGGACAACAATATCTAGTATATGTACTCTAACTCCACTTTTCAAAGTAGTGCTTTTAATTGTATGATCAATAAGTGTGTCTGCTTTCAAAATATTTGTATCTACAATATAAACTGTATTCACTGTAACATTTTCTTTATTCTTCACGACAGTTTGACATTTTTTACTTCCGAAATTGGCTCTTGTGGCAATTTTTTTTTACTTTCATCTTGATTTCCCTGTTTTTTGACCTTAATTTTTGCTTTTACGTAAATCCGCTTTTGTTTTCGTTCTTATTTTATTTTCTCTTGGTCTGCTTTTTATTCAACTTTACGCCTCTCTGCATTTTGATGATTACGACGAAGAAGTGAGCACAAAAGGCAACCTTTCTGTTTGCTTTTTGCCCTTTCTTTCTGGGGATTTTTGGCCAAAAAAAGAATTTGTTGATTGAGGTGTCAATTTCTTTAGATAATGAGTTGTCTTGATTAACTAAAGGCAGATTATTGGATGTCGATTGAATATCTTCTGTCATTGTATTCTGTGACATCTTTTATATTATATGTAATATCAACGTTTTCTGGATGTTGATTTGGAAAATCAGAAAGTAGATTTTCTT